TGGCGGCGGTCCAGACTCCCGAACTTGGTCCCCACTCAGACGGTGCAGATGGTTCAGACATCTCTCGAGTCACTCTCCGTTTGCCCTAATAAAGTTTGCATGATTGCCTTCTGTTATTCCACCAGTCCTCAAATATCCGCCGACTTGACCGACTCAATCCCCCAACCGCCGTCAAAACAAGTAACCCTACTTTCCCTTCAATTTCATTTTCACTCTCGTTGCTTGCTGTCGTTATTTTTCATTTTTTGTTGACGAAAATGAATTATTTTGCTTTAAAAAAAAAAAAAATTATCTTTGAATCAAACATTGTGTTTTGATTGAATTGCAGGGTCCTCTTCAACCCGGTCTGTATCTAGTAGGAACTCCAATTGGAAACCTCGAAGATATCACTCTACGGTGCTTGCTCAATTTATACATAGAATTATAAACCATGTTTTTCGTTTTTTTTATTCTGATGCGAATTTCTCCAATGTAGAGCCCTCCGAGTCTTAAAATCAGCTCATGTAATACTTTCAGAAGATACCAGGCATTCGGGAAAGCTGCTCCACCATTACAATATTAAAACTCCCCTTGTAAGTCAATACGGAATTTTATTTTTTCCTTTGGGTTTCTAGTTTGGTTGCCTTTTGGTTTTAGTCATTTTAATTTATGCTTTTAGATTACAGCTGAGCTATCACAAATTCAATGAAACCCAAAGGGAACAAACTGTGTTGAAGAGGCTGAAGGAAGGTGAAATTGTGGCGCTCATAAGTGACGCTGGGATGCCAGGCATCAGTGATCCTGGCACCGAATTGGTGAGGATCCCCTCCTCCTTTGTTCACTATTTTGCTTTATTTTTCGAGCAAGCAATATATCGTTTGTCAGCTCGAATTGGTTTATGTCAAGTGGTTTAGTCAATTGTGAGATGACTTCGAGTAGTTCAGCATGTCATTGTGGATATGGTATGTACAGAGGATATAAGGTGGTAACCAAACCAGCACTGCAGTGGAGGTTTCCACATTCCATATATTATGAAGAGTGGAATTGGTGTGTGTATTAATATCAAGTCTTGGTGCAGGCAAAGCTATGTCTGCATGAAAACATCCCTGTTATTCCTATACCTGGGCCGTCCGCTTTTGTTGCTGCCCTCTCTGCCTCTGGCCTGTCCACTGATGAGTTTACGTTTGGTAAGTAAGTTTGTCATGCTGCTTGAAGTTCTTCTTATTGGCTGTGGACTGTGGAGCGAGGAGTGTCGGGATTTATAGAACCCTGTACTAATTATATACTTCTGCAGTTGGATTTCTCTCTAAACATGCTGGATCTAGAAGAGAGAGGCTGATGGTTTCAGCAAATGAGGCGACGACACAAATATTCTATGTGCCTCCCCACAAGCTTTGTCAGTTTCTTGAAGAGGCTTCTTCACTTTTTGGTGTTACAAGGTAAATATCTCTTTCCTTCCTAACTCATTGATAATAATGTTTTATTATTGTTTATTATTGTGAGTTGAAATTTGCACTATTGGATTGATGTCCGTTTACTGATCCAGTGGTTTTACAAATAAATCACCGGGTGACTTTTTACTTATAATTGTGATGCAGACAATGTGTCATAGCTCGTGAAATTACAAAAGTTCATGAAGAGGTAGGGTTTTTATGATTTGTCTTATTTTCTTCCTGTTATGTTGCTTTGATGGGCTTGTGAGAATCTTGACTGCTGACCAGCTTATCAACTATATAAACAGTATTTTACTTGCTGCATTTTTTTTTTATGCGAATCTCATGGCATTAGATATTTAAAATCCTGTTGTTATGTTGTTCATTAACAAACGATAAATTGAACTACCATGTTCTCAAGTAGTATTTGAGACTTCTTTTTGGTGATATAATTTCTAGAGTTGTTGACATAAATCTTAGACTAGTGACTGGTAATATGAGCAATGTCTCGTATCATAATTAAACCTATTTCCTGTAGAATGCATCAAAGTTATGGAAAACTTTGTGTGCCAGGCCAATACTAGTATAAAATTGCCGCTCAAAAGTTATCTTTCTTGTCTTGAGGCTACTGTTCAGGCTCTGCAATTGGGTTCCTTTATGTGGTAGATTATAGCCACAGTTTCTAATTCCTTTTGGGCTGTGCGTTGCTTGTCTGACATTTTAGACACAAACCGACCTCACCTCACTAGTGCTTGAGCAGTGTGATTCAATCCTGTTGGACCCCAGATCCCATTGGGAATAACTAATAAATCAATTGGGCCACCTTATATGAGTGTACTTCATTTTCATATATATATTTGGAGCATTGCTTTGTCTTTCTATTAATTTCAAATGCAATGATATGGTCTCATCAAAAAGAAAAAAATTTCAAAGATACGGAGAATCTATATTGTGAATTCAGTGATTATTATCTTGATGGTTCGATTCGTCTATTTTTAAATGCTAGCATGATTTTTCACAAACAAAATTACTACTCCGCTAATTTCATGTTGCGATTTTGACTCATAATATGATGTCCCAAATTTTGATGCGTCATCAGTTTTGGCGGGGTACATTGGGAGAAGCTGAAAAAGTGTTTTCTACTCGGACCCCAAGAGGTGAAATTACAGTGTTAGTTGAAAGAAAGGAAAATTCTCCGGTTGAAACACCATCAGAGTCTCAGCTTGAGGATGAGTTAAGAGATTTGATTTCCAATGGGCATAGCCTTTCTACGGTAACAACTTCTCTTCGAGTATATTGCATGTTATTTTTTTTCACAAGAGCGTGTATATCCAAGGCTTCTTGCATATTCATTTTACTAGTGGTTGAAATGCACTTTCCCATATTTTACAAAATCATTAAGGAGATCTCTTCTACTGTTTACAATATAACATCATAGTGGAACATTTCATTGAGGAAAATTCGCAATGGCATCTTGTAATGGATTTGATTGCAGCAGATGGATCTCATTATGGAGGTCTGGGTTGGGGCAGTGCGACCATGTCACTCATACAATCATTCTCACAAGAAAAGGATGTCTTTCTTGTGAGAGTGGTCGTGGGATAACGTGGCTGGACTGCCTCACTCAAGACTCTCTCCTCTTCATGACTACCTTTAAGCCCCTTGTTTAGTCATTTTCTGCTGTCTCTATTGATCATGAACGTTGGGGTGTTGACAACTCTTATGTACGTATAGGCTGTCAAATTAGTGGCTGATGGCACATCAGCGAGAAAGAAAACGATATATTCAATCGCATTGAGAAAATTTGGGCCGCAACGTGGTTCAGAGAGTCATGAAGATCCATGCAAGCGACAGCCGGAGTGACTTTAGATGTTACTGGTGGACCAGAGAGTAAAGTGCTTATTATGCGAACTGATTTTTGTTTCTTAATATGTGATGAAAATATTTACATTAGTGTTTTAATTAATAGACTAAATTTACAGTGCCGTAGTTCATATTACTGACCATTCTAAAAAGGGTAAGACAGTAAATTGCCAAATCGTGAAGGTTGTGTTCGAAGAAGTTGAGGACAAAAAACGTCGAGACCCAGAAGGAAAAAACCAGGACACGGGGTGTCGGGAACTCGGGATCACGGGCGCTGCATACAACAACATGACATATGCAGATCACGGTAATGGACCCCACCGTTCTTCTCGCCCTCACCGAACAACTCCTGAACCTCACCACACCCTGAAAACCCCCCCTTTTTTTATTTGAGACCGCACTCGTTTGATTATCAAAAATATTTCATCTTCCTGCCAGTAGTGTATGTACAAGAGCTTAGAACTATCAATGCTATCCCTAAAACTTATCGACTATGTGCGGTTTTGTACGTTTTTGTGGTCATCAAGAAATTGACAACAATTTATCAGCACCGTGATTAGAAAATGAAACGGAAGAGGATGGGCTAAAAATACGTTGGCCAGTGGCTAAAATGCGCCGGGGGTCGAAATCCATCTTCCTCTGGTAAAATTGGCCCCACTTATCTCCAAAGTGGTCCATCCACTCCTCCTGTGTAGTGTAGTGGGGGAGGTACTGTTTCACCTTGATGCCTGCATCATCACAGAATTTGAGGATCTGACGGTTCTGATTGGTCAGGTGCTCCAAGGTGTGGGTCTCGTCGCCCGTATCCAAGGCGGATCTTAGCAATGCCACTAGGTAAAAGATGTCCTCATCGGGTGTCACCACCGAGCTCCTCTGGTCCCACCTACACAGAATCAAAACCACGTAAACGCCAATGAGAAAAACATGTTTTGGAATTTGGATTGTGGCACTGTGAAAGATGGATGCGTATTTGGTTGTTTGGATTTGATCATCAGCAAGACCCACCCCACCATTGTGGACAGTGGAGGAGGGTGACGGGTCGTTCCATGTCCATGTCATTAAAACTGTAACCTTGCGTAGAGCTTAGAGCATGTGAGTCATTGTGATGCAATTGAATCTCATAACGTATTAACAGTCATTCGCTTGCGTGGGCCACTGATGCTAACATAATTATCATAAACTCATGTAGATTATGTTAATATGTACTGTAGTACTAACGACTACGTTTCTGGAGCTACCTTGTAAAACGACATGGATGACATCCCATCAGTGGATCCACTGACACCAGAATCTTTCCACTTGGATGATCTCCACCGTCGACTTTATTGGCTTTTCCACCCAACCCCCAAAAAAATAAACCCAGAAACAGTACTGTCTGTGCGTGTGGTCCTGGACTTCCTGGACCAAGTCCAAGTGTTTTGGCTGCCTAACTATAGACTTTACCTCTCTATCATATCGTCTAAAGACCAAAAGCCATAAGTCCATCCATAGACAGATTGACAACTATTCACATCTTGTCATGTGAATGATGAAGATTTCCTTGAAAGAGAAGGTTTATTAAATTACGCATATATATATATATATATTCTTCATAAACTCTAAAAAATGAGAGAAGGAGAGAGAAGTAAAAAAACTATTTCATCTGAATCATTGAAGGTGGCTAAATCTAAGGGTCTCAAAATTGTGTTAAAATTTGTCTCCTAAATCTGACCCGAAATATATGAATACAAAGGCATATATGTTCTTGAAGTTCCAAACCCTATATATATATATATATATATCCTTCATCATTAAGAAGGTCCGCAGCTGCTGTCATAAAAGATTCTATTTGTCTTTCTGGAAAATTTACCATAAGTGCTGCTTAGAGATAGGCTCAAATAAAGGCAACATCCTAGATTCATATTTTATTCTTGTTAAAATAATGGATGTAATATCAACAGCTATATATATATATCGTTATGTTTGCAGGCATGCATGCATGCAATGAAAACAACATAAATACTTACTTGTCTTTGTTCATGGGGTAAATGAGGATGGGCCCGCTTGTCTTATTGCCCAAAATACTCTTGAACACCCCCTTATCGAAGTCAGAAATCCTTGATTTGGGGACAAAAAGGTTAAGCCATGGGTGAGGCACGTCCCACAAACCCTTGGACCGGAGCTTCAGCTCCGCCTTGTGGACCCGGTCCAGAAAATCCACGTAAGGAAGATCCGTTGTGAAGACCGACGTGGGTACAAAATCCAATTTTGTTAACAAACCCTCTATTTCCTGTGTGAAAAACAAAAACCCAACTCACAATTTTAAATTATTTGGAGTTTAAGAAAAAAAAAAAACAATCAAATAGTACAGTAAAGAAAGCTGCTACCAAACCCAACTGTTGCTTTTGTCAGGATAAGTTCCACTCAAGAGGAATAATTTGGTGAGTTGGGCGGCTTATTAGATTTAGTAATATAGAATCAGAAACAATTTTGAAAAAAAGCTTGTATTCAATCTTAGGTTTGAATAAGATAATAGATCGCAGATCTTCCATGTTTTCTTGTTAATTACATTTTGTAGTAGCTAATCATATAATATAGGTTTAGTATTATTGATTGATTGATCAATCTAGCTTCAAAAACCTTGCTCTCTTTTGGTTTGAATACGTGTACAATGATAGATAGCCACTTTAATTTATTAGTCTTTAAAGTCTGAGATTACCAACTAATTGTTGAATTGTTGGTCCTGCTAGCTATCTTTTTATTCTAATATTATATATATATATATACGTTTTCTTTCTCGAAGCTGGTGTTGCTTTAGCATGCTGCATGCACGACGCCATCATTTATTTATAATATTTATTTACCACTCTTTCGTATTTCTCTAGGTTTTTATACAAAAACAAAAAAAATAGTTTTATATTTTTAGTGGGTTGGGTTGGGTTGGTATATATTCTCAGAAATTATACATAACTTGCATGCCTGAAATTACGACTATATGTATTTATATGTTGGTTGGACTAATGAGGCCTATGGATTGAGTGCTAGCTAATTGAAGACTAATCACCAACTACCTAATTAATAAAACTATAACGTATACAAATTAATACCTGGTCAATTGTATCGGCGGTTGATTCATGGTAGTTTTTTGTAATCTCCAAGCAATATAAAACACCCCCTTGAGAATTAATAGAGGTGATTTTGACAGGGTTGCTAGGAGAGAAGAAAGACGACCTCCAATTGTTGATGAGGCCTTCATCTACAATCACGAAACCCTCGACATAATCGAACTTGTGGGTGGAGGGTTGCCCATGCAGAGAGATGAGGAATTCCTGATCTTTGGTAAAAGCCGAAAAGTTGGAATACAGTACTCGGATCCACCTCACCTGTTTGACAATGGCAGCACATAAAGCAATAATAAAAACAAAATTAAAGCACCAAAAAAGGAGATAGAGAAAGAGACCATGTTAGTTAAAGAAGCAAAGAGAACACGTCAACAACATTGCCAGCTATGGAATAACCCGTTTGAATAATGGGTTCAAAATTCATGGACCCATATTCGATCCCTTCGAAATCCCCTTAGGTAGGTCAAGCTCATCATACCTTGCTTTTTAGGACTTGTTTTTGGTGGAACCCAACCAAAACCCATTTCTAATGAAACAACTTCTAATTATAATAATATGAGAGGGAAGAGATATATATACCCTTTGGGGGGCAGGTTCGAGAGCAATTCTAGCCCTAGTGATGATTCCAAATTGCCCTAGCCCACCAAGAACAGCGTGGAACAGCTCTGAGTTTTTCTCTTCTGAACATGTCAATAGCTCGCCCCTGCCTGTTTAACAAACAGTTAGGTCATATGCTAGCTACACAAGAGATCGATTTGCAATAAAGACAACTACTTCAATTGGCAGCAACGGCAACAAACTTAATAATGTCATGATCATGAATCATGAATCATGATGAGAATATATATATATTCTTAGATCGATTGGTTGGTGATATACATAACAAACGAGGCCATGTGAGGGGTATAACTAATTAATATGCTAATGCAGACACACACAAGAGATTACGTCCACGCTTATATCAGTAAAACAAACAATATTTATACTTTGTAATGTACAACATGCAAACACTTATAAATAAATTTGGGGAAATTTGAAAGAAACGCAAAAAAACAAAAAAACAAAAAAAGAATGATATGATTAAATTTGGAACCTGTAACAACGTCGAGCTCATCAACACTGCTAATCTGAGGTCCATGATTGAACGCTTGGCCGCTGATGCCGGCGTTGGAAAGTGTTCCTCCCACCGACAAGTACAAGTAGTCCGTCCACGACTTTGGTGCGAGTCCATATTCCAGCGTGCTCCTCAGCACATCTATCCACAGCTCCCCACCCCACGCGTCCACGTACATACCCTTCTCCGAAACCCGACCCGACCCACTTCTCACCCGACTCATAACTCTCCCTGATGGTCCGCCGCCGCTCATTTCAATGACGACCCCATTGTTGGTCTGCGCCTGTCCGTTGATGGAGTGCCCGTGGCCCCTGGCCGAGACCGTGAATCCGTGAGCCGAAGAGTAAGCGGCTCGCACGAGTCTGGCCACGTCTTGGGCAGAACCCGGGTGCAGAACGGCCAAGGGCTCGGCTCGGCTCATCAAGCCGAAGTCTTTGGAGGCGGTGTCGACGTCGGAGGGGTCGACGCTGAGCTGACCGTCGACAACAAGGCGGAGAAGCTCCGTGGGGTCCACGGTTAATCCAACCGTAACAATCAATCTGCAGATGGCGAATGTAATTAAAAGAAGCTTAGTAGCCATATGTATGATTGATTCTTGATGTTCTTGTTCTTGTTCTTTTTTGTGGATGGATGGTTGAAGATGATGAATGATTATAAGGTAATAATAGGCTACATAATGGAGGAGAATGGCGGTTAAAAAGGGTGAAGGAAAAGAAAAGTGCGCACACCGGCGAAGAGAAGTAGGTGGCGGTTGTATAGCTATATATAGTGAGAGAGTGAGAGAGTGAGAGAGTGAGAGGGAGTGATGATAACGTACGTATACGTAGTGTTAGAAAAAGAAGGGAAAAAAAGAAATTGTGGAGGAAATTAGGGAAGAGGGAACAAAATCTTTGTGGCAGGAGGAGGAGGAGGAGGAGGGAGGAGAGGTGTGGGGAGTCGTGGAGACAACGTAAGGCTGATTTCGCTTTAAAGATTTTGTACGCAACATGCACAGATTCTCTGCTGCGGTGGTGCGCTATAACTCCTCCTTTTCTTCTTTTTATCTAGCCTTAACTTGATTTCTTCGCGTTACAATACAAGTAAGTACACACCTATATATACAAGTGTTGAGGTGAGATGAGATTGAAGGTAACGAGGAATTCAGATATATTTTTTCTCTCTCTGTCTCTCTGTCTCTCTCTGTCTGTCTCTAGAAATTGGCCAAGGCAAACAACAGATGATTTACAGATATAGAGAGATAGAGTAATTTTTCTAAGGGAGTCAGTCTGATTATGGATACGAGTGTTGTGTCTAGACTAGGATATAACATGCAGGTCCTCAATTTAAAGCAGAGGAGAGGACTGATGGGGTCCTTGGACACGTGGATGTTCACGTGCGAGGGGCGAGAGACACGTGTTAGGCAGAAGGAAAATAGGGGTAGGGTAAGAAAAGAGTTCTGATGAGATGACCCATTTCCATTACGACGCATTACCCACTCTCCTCTCCCTTGCTTTGAGGAACACACACACACACACACACAGAGGGAGGAAAGAAAGATAGAGAAGAGGAGGAAGAGGATATCATCATCAGAAGAGGTCGGGATGTGGGGCCCACATGTGGATACGGAGGATCTGTGTGGGGACCCGAGCGAGAGAAGCTTCACGTGGGTGCAGACCCCTGCGACGATGTTCTTTCCTTTGAGCTTATTATGCAATGCAATGGCGACGCAAATGAAAAAATATTACCAACTAAATAGTCTTTTAATAATCAGTACTTATTCATTCCTCAATCCCCTCATCAAATCAAACACAACACAACCAGATGTTTATATTTTTATTAATTAAAACTCATAATAATATATAAGAGTCAAGACTATATGTGTTGTAAATTGTAATGGCTGAATTGAATTCTATTATATTAATTAGTGTACGTATGCCTAATTAAGAAAATCACAGAATCTAAGCCTTAGATTACAATGACTAGTTATGCAACTTAATTATGGTTTGCCTACCAATTTGCCAATTTGCCAATTTGCCAATTTGCCAATGCCATGACTAAAAAATAAAAATAAATGCTTCCCACGAGAAAAAAAACACTCACAAAACAACAAGTGCATGTTTGGAGATTACCCAATATATTTATATTTATATATAGATAGATGTCAATTGCCAAGTGGGTTTTTGGCGCCCACTTTTGGATTTATATCTTAGATGATTAGTCAAGTCTTTTTGCATAAACTAGTTTAGTTGGCCGTAACTATAACAATTTTAATGGGATATATGTGGTCTTCAAGTCTTTGTGGGGGATAATTAAGAAGATATTATTATGTACTTTTCATTAAATTTAATTTAATAAAAAAAACCCTAATTAAAATTATATTTGTAGACTAGAATCTATATGAGAGAGTTGAAAAAGAAAAAGGAAACAAGTCATTGTTTTGGAGGGCTCATTGACAACTCTTGCAGCTTGTCCAGGAATGAAAACGATTGTCCAATCAGTTACGGCATTTTTGAGCTTCATAGACACTTGCTGGACCACCTAATAATAGCTTGTCTAACTTGTCTTTCATTACGGATGTGGATGCGGATGCGGATATGGATGTGGATGTGGATGTGCATATATATATATATATATATGAATATAAGTTGTGTTTCGTTTCATCGTTCTAATTTTGTTATTAAACCAAGTCAATGGTGAAAATATACAAGTTAACCCATCCATCCACCACAGTCCGCTTACATTCTTGATCATCAGCAACAGCAACAGCAACAGCAACGGCAACAGCAACAGCAACGGCAAGATTGGCGTTAGAATAATATAGCTCAACTACAGCGAGATTTCACCAAAATCATTTATTAATAATCGTACCAAGAAATTAAGTTGTGTGTGTGTGGGTCCAGTCAAGGGCCAAGCCAAGATGTGAAATAAATAATAAAAAATTATCGTTGGTTGGTTGGCGTATTGACCATACGCATAGGTACAATTCAGTCAAGTCATGCATGTAATCTCGTTTTCTTCCACTGAACAAACAAGCCCACATGAACTGGGGACGCATGCATTAACCATTTTCATATATTCTTGGATTGTTGGTGGTGTGAACAGTTGGACCTTGTGCTGCTCTGATTAATATGAACTTGACCTTAGAGAAGTTCATTTGTCAGATATCAATGTTGTAAACGAGGAAAATACTTCCAAATTCCCCATTTTTAAAATCTAAATTACTTGTCTAATAAGGCTTGGCTGGTTCCTTGTTTTTCACAAGATTTTGAGTCTTGTTGACAAAAAAGCCTCGTCTCTGTCGGGTAGCCAGAGGGACCCGGTGGATCATCAAATCATCCATAAATTAATAAGCCTTCTTCTGTCGACAGCAGGAGGTGTGGCTACAGTGCCTAATGTCCTTCACTCACACTGGGGATTGGGATTGCAATTTGAAACACGAGAGTCTTTAACTCTTGTATCCAAGGAGAAGGACCATAGCTACCAACCAACTTAATTGCAATTTCCTCCGTCTAATGAATGCAACATCTTAGTTCAAAGAAAAATAAAAACAATTCAATGCCGAAACTCATCAGCTCGATCAGCATCCAATTTGGACTGTATACGTATACATCTATATATGATATTCATCAAGCACAACTAGTATGACCAATTAACATCTCGATCCATATAAATACAATGGATAAAGATGCAACGCGCGCAGGCTTATCAAGCAACCTGCTCACATTGTTATTGTATTGACCTACTTGTGAATAAATTGGATGGATAAACATGCAATGCATCAACTCGTTGAAATAGTACTGAAGGAAAAAAAACAAACAAACAAGTATTCCAGTGTTGAACTTGAAGCGTTAGAGATGACAAATTCAAGAAAGTTTTGGCTCCATCCACGTCCCTGCATCAACTGCTGCATAAAACGATGGGTGTGTGTTTCAAATACAAAAACAAATGATCGACAAGAGGGCCCGCTAGAAACTTTGACAACTCAATTATAATTTGCTTAAACGTTAGATTAGCTGGAAACACATGCAATGCATTATTTGATGTATCGTACGTCGTCGTCGCCACTTAATCCCGCTTTACACAAAAAGGAAAAAGAAATCTCAAATCATAACTATGACTTTGGGTGAGTTTAAGAATGACAATGGGATGGGATGGCATAACATCGGGTTTACCATGAATTCCATCCATTTCTCTCCTCACTTCCTCCAAATCCAATGATGTGGATAAAAATATAATTAAGCCCCAATCAATCAGTGAGAATGATGTAATTAGGGTAGCTAGCAGTTCATTTGAAAACTCTAATTGCTCTTATATAAAAAAACAAAAACAAGAAAAGATTAAAAAGTTTGGCACAAACAAATCAGTGGGCCTCTAATCTCTTCTCGATTCTCTTATCTTTTATGCGTCTGAAAAAGGAGAAAAGTCATTTTGTCTATTTGCTTTAGGATTCGTTCATGTTGTCTTGCTTTTGAGTTCAAACCCATCTTTTACAACCAAAGTTTTCTCCCTCAAAGTGCAAACCAACGGACTACAAGGACCTACACAAGTGTCACTTTACAGGCAAAGCTGCTCGAGAAAGCAAACACAATCACTTTTGTGTTAGTGTATAAGATAGCAGCCTCTTTCCTAACCGACACCAGTTGTTCCCCTAGATTAGATTCTCTCTTCTTTTTTCTTTATCTCTTCTGTCTTAATAATTTAAATTATAGGACCTAAATCATAGATTATATGCGCATTAATTAGACCCCTAATGACCTGCTAGCTAGCTGAGAGGGATTCATCGATCTAGGCGGTCTTGCTCTTAAAAAGAAAAGAGTGTCTAAAATGTCACAAGTGCTTTACTTGGGTCTTAAATCGTGATGATGATTTTAATTACTTGAACAGCTCATTCCCTACTGTTATCATTATCTTTATTGGTTCATTCTCCAATTCATTTCACTTTACATAAATTATTTATAAGCAAGCTGCCAAGCACCATGCAATGCATGCAAACGTTGTCCTTTTTAGAAATAAGTATAGTCCGTCTTTGTTTTCTTCTTCCTTTTTTCATAATTGGAGTTGAGTTAAGACTTTTAAGTAAAGAGGGCGAGGCCTATCCTATCTATCCTATCTATCAGTATTTGCTTGGAGTTTAGTTTATTATTATGTATTATTCGATTATACTTATATTGTAACACGCATACAAGATGTACCACGTAACCGTATTTTTATATATAGTCTTATAAAATAAGATAATAAGGCAGTACTGTATGACCACGTAGTATAGCTTTACAAGAGTGTAACAATTTAAAATATGATTAAGGCGCCCATCACGGCTGATTGCTTCGTGGGCCGGTCACCTTTGTATGATACACAACAAAGAGCTATATATACATATAGCTAGCTAGAAAGCAAGGAGCTTAATTATTAATAAAGTCGCATCGAATCGAACAGTAATTAATAGATCTAGATGCAACTATATACACGAAACGAAACAATATTTTAGAAACGAAAAGTAAATAGTTTTGGTTTGGAATCAATGCAGGCATGCATGGTGTCACCTTCAAAGTTTGATTTGATGGTGATCATCGCGAGGATCGATCAAGATTTGATCTGATTCTCCACTAACAAGATAACATCAAGCGACAAATAATTAGTGCATGAAATGAAACTAAAGTCGTGTGTTTAATGCACTATTGGTGTTTCGAAACTAGTCGTAATTTCCTTATGAGAGAAACCAACAAGACAGATAATTATTCCCATAAACTTAATCCTTTTCTGTATCAGAAAAACAAACAAAACGTCCCCATTTCATCAGTAATTAGTATATTTACCCCCCTTGTTGAACGAGCCTATTTCTTTCTTTTGAAATTATTGAACTGAACCAAATGAATGGCTCTGTTCATTCATTTCTGTGAGCCTGTGACCTTCAGTTCTGAAACTGAAAGGTTATTGCTTTTATCTATATGCTTTGGATCTTGGTCATTGTGACTTGGACATGGAGCCCCATATAATATCTCATGAGCCGCACACACAACATATAATAATATAATATAATAAAGATTTATTAGGTGATTGCAATTTGCATCAATGTGCTGCTCCTGCTAGCTTAATTCCATTCCCCCATGCAAAAGAGAAGCTAAAGCTACAAGAATAAAATCTAGCACAGAATCCTGGTCCATCATTCAGGGATTATATATATATATATATAGTAGCAGAGCAGGCAGATTGCCAGATCCAATTTAATTATTAGTTGCGTCTGATCTGACATCATTATTTTGTTCTGGAATTGCCCACAAGAAGTGGCATAACATAGGTCATCGCCAGCAGAAAAACATGTATCAAATGGGGATAGTACTATTCTCGATCAATCACAAAAGAGTTTAGGGGAGGGAGGTTACCCCATCCCAGGACCAAGGGGATACTAATGACTCTTTGAGGACTTACAGAGGGGGTTTTAGTTTTTTTTTAAATTTTTTACAGAATACCCATCAAGAGTAATTGTCAGCAGCGAGACTCGAACTTAAGCCTGAATAGCAAAGAGAACGATCCTTACCAACTCAATCAACCCTCTTTGGCATCATCTTCCTTCATTTATTTTACTTATGACAATTTTACTAATTCTGCCATTTTAGGAATCTCATTACCTACTCTAATTAATAATTAACTTTACTTTAGTTCTACCAAATTAAGTGACCACTTCATATTTTTCATATGTTATAGTTAGCGCTAGCAGGTCCAAGGACATCAGCACAACTTTTCTTCGACCTCCTATCAAATTTTCATCCCATTATTAGATGTTGGCCCACTAATAAAGCAGCCCTAAGCTCGTCAGCCCAAAATCGGTGGGCCTACTAAGAGCCCATGGGCCATGCCCTGCTTCTAAGAGTAGTTCCAACAGGAGGGGTTGGGGGCGGATTGGGCCAAAAACATGTTTCCAGCAGCAAAATGCAGCCCAGGCAGAAGGTGGTACCCAGTGAACTGGGCTGGCTCGAGGGCAAGTCGAGCCCCAGGTCCAAAACGAGGGCTGGCTGACGTCAGCGAGCGGAGCATAAATTTTTTTATTATTGGCTCATGCAATGCACACGTCAATGGTAAAAAAATTTGAACTCCGCTCGTTGACGTCAGCCCTGCACTGCGCCAACGGTAATGGGCCACGTGTCGTCATCTGGGCGCTCCGATCGTTATTTTCTCTCCAATCCAACGACTGTCAATATTTTTGCAATAAAAATATGAAAAAAATTCCGAATTTTTTTATAAAAAAATACTTGATTTTTTTTTCTTCTATAAATACCTACCAATACTCTTCACTTTCAACACCAAATCCTCATACATTTTCTTCTACTTATACTATTATTCACTTTTTACTCAACATTTCATTCACTTTCAAGTTTTATTTTTCCATATCATCTTTATGGCTTCTTCTATCGACGGTGTTGGGGCATGGAGCACCATAGAAGATGTTTTGTTGTGTGAGTGTTGGGTCCAAATTTCTCATTATCCCGTCATGGGCAATGAAATAAAATTCTCGGGTTTGTGGAAAAAAATTCATTCCGAATTTTGTGGAAGATTGAGTTCGAACCGTACGGAAATGACATTGTCTAGTAGGTGGAAAATTCTCAATAAAGAGTTGGGGAAATGGAGAGATGCCTTGACAAAAGCGATGGACAACCGTAGAAGTGGGGAAAATCTTACCGATGAGGTAAATTATTTGTAATTTTTGTTTTATTAATTTTAATGTCATAATATTTTTTTATAAAAGTTTCTTGCATTGTCAATATTTCATAAATACCCAATATTTTGTTAATCTTTCTTGCATTGCCAATATTTTTTTAATGTTTCTTGTATTTCCAATTTTTTTTTATAATTAGATTCAGCAAGCACAAATGTGATTTGGTGCTACTAGGCAAGGAAAAAAATCTTTTAACCATCATGAATGTTGGGAGGTAGTCAAAAATTGCAACCGTTTTAGAATTATTCACACGAGTTCGACCGTTGTGTTGAATGAGATGCCACTCTATAATTCAACGGGATCGGATTCGCCTCTCAATTCCCCGATGAGCGAAGACTCACCCATCCAAAAGGAGCCAAGGCCTATTGGGAGAAAGGAGGCGAAGGCAAAAAGAGTGAGTAATTCTACTAGTAATTCATCTAAATTTTTGGAGGAAATTGCAAGGCAAAGCGCCATGAGACTTGAAATTGAGAAGAAAAACCAAGAAGATGAGAGGATATTTCAAGCGGAATGTGTAAAAGAAAGGGAGTATGTACGCAAGCAAAACACTGTGAAGCAGGATCGGGAAACCATGGCCATGGATACAAGCCATATGTCCCCTGAAACAAAACAATTTTGGAAGCTAGAACGAAGGGATGTTATGAAACGAAGACTTTTTCGTGACGATGGACCTAGCAACACGGATTGGTTAAATGATCAAAACCATTAAGTTAGTTTGCTTGCCTTTTATTTTCATTGTATTTTAATGTTTTATTTTGAAAATTAGTTGTAATTCATGTATTTTATTTTCATTGTATTTTAATGTTTTATTTTGAAAATTAGTTGTAATTCATGTATTTTATTTTCATTGTATTTTAATGTTTTATTTTGAAAATTAGTTGTAATTCATGTATTTTATTTTCATTGTATTTTAATGTTTTATTTTGAAAATTAGTTGTAATTCATGTATTTTATTTTCATTGTATTTTAATGTTTTATTTTGAAAATTAGTTGTAATTCATGTATTTTATTTTCATTGTATTTTAATGTTTTATTTTGAAAATTAGTTGTAATTCATGCATTCAATAAAATACCTTTTTATTCAAAACATTCCATACATAAAAAAACAAATCACATCCAAAGCATTAAAAATAAACAAACCACAACCAAAGCATTAAACAAAGAAAGCATAACAAAAAATAAAACATAAACATAATAAATAAAACAAACTTCTTCACTTCACTTCATTCACCGTCATTTCCCTTCACCGCCCATAAATGCTCCATCAAGTCAACTTGACGTCGTTCATGAATATAAGACGATTGCATCTCTGTATATCGATCAATCATACGGGTCATTACACGACCGTCCCTAACCAACGGTTCATGCTGCACTGGTTCTCCATTTGGCCCCATGGGTTTTTCATAAATTCGTGCCAAGGCCGTGTTCATTGGATTCGGTTCGTACACGTTTTCAACTAGATAATCATACTCATCTTCCACAATCATGTTATGGAGGATGATGCATATCATCATTATGCTCCTCAGCACCTCTTCATCAAACAGATGTGCTGCACCCCTAATAATAGCCCATCGGGCTTGGAGGATACTAACGCACCTCTCCACATCTTTTCTGTACCCCTCTTGATAGGTAGCAAATAATTTTTGCTTCTGGGATCGGGGATGCGGAATTGACTTGACGAATGTGGTCCACCTCGGGTAGATGCCGTCAGCTAGATAATACCCACTTTGGTAGACGGTATTGTTGATTTGTTAGGTGATATTTGAGGCTTCACCTCTCAAAACATCATTGAACACCGGAGATTGACCCAGGACGTTCAAGTCATTTTGAGATTCGGCAACTCCGAAGAAAGCATGCCAAACGCAGGTGTCAAAACCTGAAACAGCTTCAAGGATGATACTTTTTTGGCCTTTCCGATTCCCATAATCTCCTTGCCACACAATCAGGCAATTCTTCCACTGCCAGTGCACGCAGTCGATGCTACCAATCATTCCTGGAAATCCTCGAGTTTCGGCTTTTTGTAGAAGCCGTTGGAGGTCCCTGGGCGTAGGTTTGCACAGGTAGTCCCTAGTGTACAGAGTTTCAACTGCATCACAAAATCTCACCAAGCTCTCCAAAGCAGTGGACTTCCCCATCCGGGCAATCTCATCAACTTGATCAGCAGATGAGCCATAAGCCAACATTCGTATAACAGCTGTGAACTTTTGTTCGGGAAGCAGTCCCAAATTTCCAGTAGCATTTGTCTTTTGAACAAAATATTCATCATAATTGCAAATATCATGCATGACTTTATTGAACAAATGGGGTTGCATTCTATAACTCCTTCGAAAATCAACATCAGAGTACAGAGAAGTTGGGATAAAATAATCTTCTAGAAGATTCTTACCCCGAGAATGTCTATGTTTGTCCACATTCGGGCCACGACCTTCTCCTGAACCATGGCGGCTCTAGTTTTCTTCATCATGCATAGCCACTGCTGTGATAATTTGCATATCCAGTTCTGCCTGCGCCCTTTTGCCTATAGCTCGTCTACGCCTTCTTTTTGTAAATTCTCGCATTTGCCTCTCCAAGACCTCGTTCATGTCTACCATTGGAGTATGAATTCTAAAATCTGAGAAATGAAAATAAAGAGAAGATATGGTGTGAAAGGTATGAGCCGAGGCTCTGGTTTTATAGAAAAAATTTGCCCGATAAAGATGATACGTGGCGCAATTTTAGAGGGTGAAAATCTTATCTGAAATTTGAAATTCAGATGAAATTTATATGAAATTTGAAATTAAGATGAAATTTCATTGAAATGTATCTGAAATTTGAAACCAAAAATCTTATCCGAAAATTTTATCCGATTATGAGATATGAATAGTATTGACATGTAGGAACCCAAAAATCTTATCCAAAAATATTATCCAAATTAATTATTTAAGTAAACAAATTTGTGAAAAAAATTATAAAAATGAATAGTATTTGCCCTTTGCCTAGGCAACTGCTGGAAACCAACATTGCTTTTTGCAAGGGCAACTGCTGGAACTACTCTAAGAGCACTTCCAACAGTGAACCCTTTGCCATGGCAATGGGGGGCTAGGGCAGCTACTATTCATGTGAATAGTGGCTGTCCTTGCAAAAGGTTGTGGTGTTTCCACCAATTGCCATGGCAACAACTATTCACATGAGATATGAGGAGAGAAATTTGTATAGATTTTTGGTGTGGAAAATGAAAACTATGACTAAGTATTTATTTTATAAAAAATATGAATTTTTTTGTATTTTTTTAAAGATGTTTTTTTTAAAATTTTTGGTTGCTGATGTCATCATTGATGTCAGCAAATTCGGGCTTGAACTAGGGCTCATCTTGCCTGAGGGCTGGCCTAGTTTCGTGGGCCCAGCAGCTGCCCCCCCAGCCCTTGCTGCTGGAAACGTTTTTGGGCCTAAACCCCCCCTAAAGCCCTTGTTGCTGGAACTGCTCTTAAGAGGAAAAGTATTTGCACATTTCCATACTCCATGCATGACCGAATTAGGACGATATATTCAAACACGATCTGTTGATTACATAACAAATATGATGGATTTCACATCACTCTTTTATGATGGATTTCATACATTTGTTATACTTATACTACAATCAATCTCAATACTAAAATATCAGTTCCTGCAAGGAGTTCCTTCGTCTCTCACTTTTGCTGCCACTTTATGGAAAACCAATGCAAATGGAGCTGCAACATTTGTGTTTATGCCAGAGTTTGTAGTCTCCTTGGCCACAGAATCTCATTTTCCAGTGTGTGAGGCTAACAAGACATTACAGGCAGATTAAGCTCCTTCATTGGCTTGCCCCTCCTCAACGTTGGTTTAAGCTTACAATTCATGGTAGTTGCAGAGGCGAGCCTGGCCACATTGGAGCAGGTGGAGTTTTGCGCAATGAAAATGGGAGAAGGTTCAAAGGCTCCTCTGTGAACCTTGGCATCGGATCTGTTCTTGGGGCAGACAAAGCTATGAAGCTACGCCGATGCCTATGTTTGACTCGGAACGATGTAGACAGATTGAAGTTGAATGTGACTCTAGTGTTGCTGTCCTCATGTTCATTCGATCCCATAGAGATCAATCATCCTCTCTTCAACCTTGTAAAAATTGCAAAATGATGTTAGCTTGTGTTGTGACTGCAGTTGTGTGCCTTGAACAAGCCCTGTTTGAGGTAAAACTGATCTTTCAACTTCCTTCCGCCTTTTGTGTTTTTCCTCTAGGACATCTCTACCAATAGTCCCCACAAGAACAACGGCCATTACTAAAATGGTGGAAGGACTTCGCGTCACTCAAATATATATCACACCCAAAAGCCATAGATATATACTTCGCTATCCTATGGCAGTCTCCGCACATTCTCAGATTTTTCATAATCCTAATACTTTGGGGTACACTTGGAGAGCCATTCAGGGCAAAAGCAAATGCAAGCTTTTCACTGTGGATCCAGCCAATTTCCCCCTCTTCTTCCTCAACACATAGCTCATTACAAAAATCAGGTGTCTTTGCCTTTTCTTCTATGTTTTGTAACCACAAATTTAGAAAGACTGAGCATAATTTCAATCTGTTACCTGAAATAAACGTATGCATTTTGTTCTTGACTTCAATCCAGCACTGACCAAGAAATTTCTTTTTTGGAAAATCTCTTCCAAACTTTCTCAATTTTGATATATCCTCAGACTTCCCACATAAAGCATATGCCTGTAACATTAACTGTTGAATCAAAACATTCCCTGGTTCCGAGACAAGTAAATGCTCCCCTGCACGAACTGCCAAGGCAAGGTTCCCATGAATCCTACATGCTGTAAATAAGGCAGCCCAAACAGAGGAGTCTGGTTCTATGGGCATACCTTCAATAAACTCCATTGCTTCTTGAAGCCTACCAGAACGACCATATAGATCTACCATAGCTGAATAATGTTCTAGACCCGGTATAATTTGATAGTCTTCAGTGATGCTGTGGAACGCTTGTGTTCCCTCATCTACCTTTCCAGCCAGACTGTATGCATGTATGATATTTGCAAAGGTACCTCTATTTGGTTTAAACCCCGACTTCTTCATCTGATCAAAAAGATCAAGTGCAACATCTGAACGACCATGTAAGACATAACCAGAAATTGTTGAGTTCCAGGTGATGGTATCTTTGGACGACATTGTATCAAATATGATTCTTGAATATGCTATGTTTCCTGATTTGGCATATGTGTCGATCAGGGAATTTGCAACAGGGATTTCAGACTCCAAATTTCTACGCACTACACTACCATGAATCTCTTTCACCTTTTTCATGGCAACTAAATTCGCACAAGAAGGTAGGACACTCAATATAGTAACTGAATTGGGATTAACACAGTAGGCCTGCATCTGCCTGAACACCCCAAATGCCTTTCTTTTTTCCCCAAGTTGCAGGTAGCCAGAGACGAGAGAGTTCCATGATGCTGTATTTCGTTTAACTTTCCCATCTTTTTCCATCCTTTGGAAGAGGTCCATTGCTTGATCAGCATCTCCATTCTGCATGTATCCTGTGATCATCACATTCCAGGTCACAGCATTGGGATGTACATCTGATTCCTGCATCTTCGTGAACAGTTCATACGCCTTACCACAATACTTGGCTTGGCAATATCCTCCTATCATTGAGTTCCAAGTGTAGACATCTTTCTCTGGGATCATTCTGAAGACCTTCTGAGCAGCTTCCACTTCCCCACACTTTGAAAACATGTCAATGAGTGAATTTCCAACCAGTACGTCATCAATGAAACCCATCTTTATAGCAAGAGAATAGATTTCCAACCCTTTGTTCAGTGATTTTAAAGATGTGCATGCTGAGATTGCACTAGTAATTGTAATCCCGTTTGGTTGTACCCCTGCCAAAAGCATCTTCTTAAAAAAATCCAGTGACTGGTGTTTCCTGTTGTTTTGAGCAAACCCTGAAATCATAGAAGTCCAAGTATATACATCAGGAGTTATCCCACAGCTCTCCATCCTCCTCATCAGTTCCATCGCAACATCGCAATGCCGTAACTGGTTATGACTAGCAATTAACGTATTCCACGTTACCAAACCCGGTTCAATCCCTTCTTTGCTCATCGCATCAAACAGTCTACGAGCTTCTTCACTCTCACCCTTGTGGCAATAACCAGATATAATTGCATTCCAACTCACCCCATCCCTCTCATCCATGTTGTCAAAAAACCTCCTTGCCCACTCCAAATTTCCACACTTTGCGTACACGGCTAATATTGAATTGTTCACATGAATACAACTAGTCAAATTACACCGAACCGCAATGGAATGTATCAATTTCGTGGCCTCGATATTGGAACAATTCCCACAAGCCTGCAATATCTTAGGGAACAAAAAGTAATCCGGCAAAACTCCATCTTTCATCATCGAGAAAAAAAGCTCCACAACCTCTTTCCACCTTTGGTCTCTAAGACACGCGCCAATCATGGCTGACCAAGTGTACAAATTTCTCTCACGCATTGCATGAAACACCTTACGAGCATCATCCAAAAACCCACATTTGGCATACATGCTCACCAACTTAGTCTCAACAAATGGGTTTATTTCCTCAACTAAATCAATATGCTCATGGAGCTTCCGACCCAGCTGAATGGAATTGGTGTCAATACAAGATTGAAGTAAATTCATATAAGTAGTGGGTGGTACCTTGGACCCAATTTGGGCAATAGAGTCAAGAACCGTGATGGCCTCGCTGAACTGGCCATTCTTGCAGAGATAGTTTAAATGAGTGTCGGTGAATTTTGGGAGAGTTTTCCTGGAGAAAGAGATTATGGGTTTGGCGTGTCTTAGTGAGAATTCAGATGGGTTGCCAAGTTTGGAGGGTAGAATAGGTGTGGGAGGGCTTGATTTGCATGGGATTGTGAAATTCTCCATTGTTGAAAGTTGAAACTTTTAAGAGATTTTCTGTTTTTTTTTATGGGGTGCTCTTTTCAGTTCATGGCCTGGCCTGGAGGGTGAGGTGAAGCAAAGATTGAAGATTGCACGGTTGTGTCCGTGGTGAGTGGAACTCAAATTGCAACGGATAGAGGGAAGGATTGATTCGCTGCAGTGGTTTGCTCTATCATGCTAAGATCCAGCCAGTAATATCTCGCCACGTTGAAGCATGGGAGGGCATTGGTCAAAAAGTTGACGGCCAGGTTGTCATTACAAGTGGACGGCTTACATATGTATAAAACGACGTAGTAGTGTACAAAAATGCCTAAAACTAATACAGAAATTGCTAAACCGGAATTTCATAGTAAGAAAAAGACACTCAGGAGAAATAGAAATTGTACGACAAAAGCTTGTTATTTAATTTTTGCTGTGTGAGCTCCAATTATGGCACTGAGACATAAGCTTGTTATTTAATTTTTGTTATATAATATAGCCTAATTGTGCCAGCTCTAATTTTGAGTTTCAGTG